GCCATAGCCGTGTACCCGGGAAGGAGGAACCGAGAGAAAGCAACATGGAGACACAGAAAAATCCCAAACCACTTTAGCCCAAGAGGAAAATTTAATTCTAAAGAGTAACAACAGAAACGTTTGCCAACCTGTGCTATACATGTGACCTTCACAGCAGGTGTCTGCATATAACACCGGAGCACAGGCTGTGCTCTGCCTCGACCCTGAAGCAGAACACAGGGATTTTCCAAATATTAATGGCAACTGGCAACTCCACAGTGACTACCAGGCAGCCAGTTCTGGGAAGCTGGATAGTGGCCTTTGCTGGTGGCACACGATGGAGGGCGCGTGCCAGGGACAAGGGGTGTAACCATTAACAAGGCATTAATCACAGCACAGCTGGCTGGCCTGTCTGCCTGTCTCCAGGCAGAAGTTCAAATGCAGGTCTTACCAAGGACACCTAAGCCAAGGGCACAGGACCTGGAACAGGTCCCTGTTAGGCACTCCAAAGAGTCCCCTATGGCCCTCTGTTGGGTCAAACACCTTTACCCCAGCCTGGCCTGGCCTGGTCTGCCCACAGGCAGGGGCTAAGGCTGGAATGGGGGTCTGCTAATGCAGGATCTGGATCTTCCCAGCAAAACAGGGTCTTCCCAAGAGCAGGTGTGAGCAATCACCCCCAGGGCACGGGAAACATCAGCCAGCTACACAGAATGAGAAGCAGAAGAGGTCTCGCCCATTGGCAGCATCAGAATTCCAACCAGTCTGAATTCCAAGCAAGGTGCCTGTCACAGGTGTGCCTCAGAAGGCTGGGCACAGAGCAGGTTCTGAGCAAGTATTTTTAGACCTGACAACAAAGCTGGGGCGAGAGGGAGTCTTGCAGTCATAATCATGTTAATAGGCATTCAAAACACTTCCTGGGCACCTGGTACCAAGTGCTGGATACAAAGACACAAGCTCTCCATGAGCCGCTGCCCCTGGGGACGTGGAGGGTTGGACCACACCAACCCAGACGCAGGTGCGCAGAGAGGAAAGCACAGGGTGTCAGGTGCCTCAGCTGGGTCCTGCGGGACAAGGAGACCCGGGCCCAGGAAGAAGTGACAGCCTGGGCCCAGGACAGGGTATCAGGGGGCACAGCCACTCGGGGCAGTGAGCCCTACAGTCTTTTTAAGAGGACAGGCCACTGACCACCATCCACAGCGCAGATGACTAAACGTCCTACAGTCCAGCTGCACCGCATCCCAGAAGCCAAAGGACCTGAGACCAAGGCCTGGCATGCACTGGGCAGTGGGGAGGGACAGCCCCAAAGGGCGGGGAAGGCTGTCTGAGGCAGGAGGAATTAATGCGTACACTTGGGTCTTTCTAAGTCCGGCAGCTTTACCAAGATTGAAAAGCTAGAATGATCCTGGCTGGACAAGGAATTCCTGGAGAGAGAGAACCCCTGCAAAATGATACAAGGAAATGCTAAAGGGACAGAATGGGGAGGGAAGTGTTCAGTGGGAGCAGGTAAGAACTACATTTAAAATACTACACAGTAAGGCTTTTATTGGTAACAGAATCGCCCATGAGCAAGCAACACCCCTGTGTGTGGTACCCAATTAAAATTGTGTAACCATTAGGCAGACACAGTTTCAGATTATGGGAAACAGGCCAAGCCATATCTAGTATGTTCTTGATCACCTGTAAAAAGGGAGAGCAGCAAGGGAGGCTGGAGGGAGAAACCATGACCACTCCCATGTGACCCCTGCCAGCAGGTCCTTGTGCAACACCCAGGGGAGACTGATAAGGTCCCACAGCCAGCTGGGGGGACATAACCGCCATGGGACAGAATGAGATCTTGTCTCGGGTGCTCTAAGTGAGGAGCATGTTCCTTCACAGACAAAGATAACTTCTAACAGCCCACTGTGCACTTATCTGAAGGCCAGACCAGCCCTGTGGGGCTTATGCCACCTGACAGCAGAGAGAGGCTCCTTTTGCAACATGGGCCTTTCCCCACCCTCTCCCCCTTAGCCCCCAGGTGTGGGAGAAGACAGAAGGGGCACCACACACTTGCTCAAGAGAGCATCGAGAGTCTTTCCCAAGTCCTGCTTGCTGCTAATGCTGGTGTACCACACAGAAACTGGGGTCCCAGAGGTACAGCAAGGGAGCCTCGAGAATTCTGTAACTTTGAATCAGTCTCTGGGTGTGAAAAATACTTTTTTCAGAGATCTAACTAAGAATGCTCTGAGGGGACCAACCCCTGGTCTAGAGGAAAACGGGATGCTTTGAGATAAGTGACAATCTGGGTTTCCCAAAAGGCACATAAAGCCATGAGACAGGAAGCCCCCTGGCATCAATCATCTGATTTTGCACCTTGAGGATCTTAGACTTGCGGTTTACTCTAACCAACAAACTGAACTCCACGATCCTGCCCCCAGGCCCCAAGGCAAGGGCTTATGAATCAGACTTCCATTACCTTGCTCACCCTCTTCCCGTACGGACATAAAACTTCAGACCCCTCCAGGTTTCTCTTGCTTACTCCACACACAGCCCTGGGGAGGCCCAGCCCAGTCCCTGCGGCTTCAGCACCACTGGAAGGAGTCCCGCGAACGCTCCGGAGCCCAGGATGCTCTCCCTGGCTCTAGACTAATGCACACCCACCTCCCACCGGGAAGCCTTACTGACCTTCAGCTCGACATCGCCAGACCGGAAGTTGTCACCTTCCCCCAAACCAGCTTCCTTCCAGCACCCTGTGTGTGTGGCACGGGGCCGCCAACTGCTGTCACCCACTCTTGGAGTGTTCCTTACGCCTCCCTTCTCCCTGGCCCTTCCCCTCCCTGCAGCTGCCTGTCCCACGGTCCCTCTCTCCTTTCTGTCCCCCGGCACCCTTCCTCTGCGCTGGGCCTACATCCGGCTAGGGAGGCTTCTGTGGCCCCTTAACGGCTTCTGACTCAGTGCAGGCCTTCACCACCCAACACGGCTACCGCTGCCCGGTCCCCCACGGAGAGGACGATCACGTCAGCCACTCACAAACCCGAGACCCCTTGGGGGCTTGCTTCCCACCGCTCTCAGGGTAAAGTTCAAACCTGAGCCTGGAACTCAAACTCTCTTTCCCAGTCTGCCACCAGCCTCACCTTCCCCGACCTCCGGAGTCTCCCGAGGCCCTTCCTTCAACTACAGGGTAGTGAGATCATCAGGCCTTTCTCTCCGCACACGCACGGTCCCTTTGCCTAGAAGCCTCTTTCCCTCACACGGCCTCGCCACATCTATTCTTTTGTGAAAATTTAGCTCAAGTCCTTCCTAGGAATCCCTACGGAAGGGCAGCCAGAGGCTGCTGCTCTCTCCCCTCTGCACAGCCAGAGGCTACTGCTCTCCCCCAACGGCCCCACACAGCGGCCCCGTCCTCCCCGTGTGGCCAGCTCCGGCACACGGTCTCTCGCATAGGGCCTCCTTGTACCAAGGACAGTAGGATCTCGATAAATTTGTGTTAAAAGCATAACGAAAAGCACCGAATAAAGAATTCAAGTGGATTCTTAATAAAATGCCTGAGGTGGTTTTTTTTTCCCCCTTTGATATTATCTCCATTTGGAAAGTGACACTTGCAACAGCCACTGAAACTGCGTCTTTGAGTTGAAAAGGGATTCTTTCTCCCACGGACAGAGTTGTCATAACAGGAAAGGTATGCTTCAACGGGTAAAACATTGAACAGGGTAAATGTTAAGTGCTTTTTTATAACCTGCTTTGTTGTTCTTACGTACTTCAAACCAGAAACCATCTAAAAGCAAACAGTTAAATATGTCTTCTGAGGTTGGCTCAGACCACAACTGGAATTAGGAGCAACACGGTGTACCCAAGGTCACTTGGCCTGCTGGACGGTCCTGGCAGGTGTGCTGGGGCCCACCTGCAGGTGAACCTGCAGACTCGGGGGTGAATTTTATTACTGTTATGAGAAGCCTGTCCAGGTGACGCCTCCGTTCCCCGAAGGTCACCCTTAAGCCAGAAGGGAATTACTACGCTAGCTTCAGGACCTCGGTTCACTTCAAAGCTGTTCAGAGATACCCGCCTGCCCACTCCATGCCGGACAATAATAAGGGAGCAAAGATGAACGTGACGCGGCTCTCACCCTATTCACAGGGAGAGACAAGCTTCCGAACAGACCACTTGCACCCGATAAGCGCTTCACGTAAAGACTTAATCTGAGGGCTGAGAAGATTAGTCAAGGACCAACCTTCAGAGCAAAAGAAGCGCGTGAGGGGCTGCACCCCCGGCTAGGGCTACGTGCAAAACCTTGGCGAGATTCCCTGAAGTTTTCTTACTTGGGTTTGCTTCTCAAAACCTGTACCCCTTCAAATGAATAGGACCTGCATGCTTGGCTCCAGGACAATTAAGCAAACAGTTACAGGGGTCTGGTGCGAGTCCTCATCCTCAACTGGAGGAAACAGCTACATCTGTTGAATAATGGGGTTTTGGAGGGGGCAGAGGGGGTGTTTTTTGTTTTTTGTAATTCGCCCTCTGACACCTGACCAAATATACATCGAAATAATGAAAACCAGCTTCGAGTGCTTCTACTGACCCCGGAAAGGCAGACAGTCTCCTGACTAGGAATAAGAAAATGGGCAAACACCAGAACGCCAGCATCACCACCACAGCCACAGAGCTACTGGCCACCAGGCCTGCGGCTCCCGTGCACGCTGCTATCGTAACAGTCTACCTGGGCCTCCCCATAGCCCAGGTGGCTCTTAGGCAACCTTTGGCCTTTAATGTCAGCCCAGCCAGTGGCACTCCAGGAACCCCACGGCGTCTGTCCCTGTATGGAGTGAGGTCATCAATGAAAACCTGTAGCCAGGCCACCGGCACCCCTACCCAAAGAAAACCCACACCGGGTGCAGCCTGTGCCCGACCTCCAGCTGTGCCTACTCAAGGCTCGGAAAGCACAGTGCCAGGGGCCCTGCCGAAACGCTCCCTTCCGCCGGCAAGGCCTGGAGGATGGCTGCCGCCTGGCACAGCAGCCAGGCCAAGGGCTCCGAGGCTGGGCAGACAGGTACCTGGGCGGCAGGTGGGCGGCGGGTCATGGGGGGCAGGCAGAGGGCCCAGAGGAGAGCAGTTGCAGGTCTTCAAGGGCAGAACGTTATCAGAGAATCTGTTGCAATTTCGAGTCCAGGAGAGGATTTCCTACCCCGCAGAACCGGAAAGTGCCCCGAGAAAAGAGTGACACAGGAACAGCTCTTTCCGACGCTTCGCCCTGGGCCGACCACGGACCTCGGCTGGTGGGGGGAAGGGGGGGCGTAGGCCCTGCCCCCGCGGTGGGCGTCGGGCGGGGCTGAGATGGGCCCTGCCCTGGGCCCCTCGCGCCCGGCGCTCGGTCTGCTGGGCCCAGCCCGGGGAGGGCGGGCAGGGCCAGGCGGACGGCCGCGGGCCCCGGGCGCACGGGGTCCGGACCCCTACCCGCGCCACTGCCGGCCCCAGCGCCCCGCCTCGGACGGAGGCCCTGCAGCCCTGCCCCACGTCTCCTCCCTCAGCACGCCCCCGCCGCGGTGACAGCCGGCGACCCGGCACAGCGCCGGGCCGTCACGCCCCCCGCCCGCTGGGCCGACCGCGCACCCACCTCCGCCCGCCGCGCCGCTTCTCCTCAGCTGGCCGAGCGACTGAGCGCGGGCCCTTCTGCGCACGCGCGCACGCGGCCCCGCCCCCGCCGAGCACGCGCCGCCGGCTGCCCACCCCGGGCGTCCGCGGGTCTCTGCCGCGGCGGGCTCTGGGCATGCGCGCTGGCGCCCTGCCTCCGGGCCGCGGGAGCCGGCGTTGGCCAGAATCGGGTCCCTGCGCTGAGGGGCGCAAGCCGAGTGGGCGGGGGATGCGGGGTCCCAACAAAGGCAAGGCTGGGGGCGTCCGAACCCGAGAGGGCTGCCAGCCAGAGTCGCCGCCCCGCCGGGTCACGCGTAGACCGGGGAACGCTCGTCTGCGTGGACACGACGTCCGGTCCCGAGCAGGCGGAGAGGGTGCGCAGGGGGTCCTACGGGCGGGACCTGACCTGAGGAGCCCTGAGGCCGAGGCCGAGAGAGACAGCCGGACGGAGACAGGATAGGGACACAGCAGGCCAAGAAAGGGGCCGAACTCGGGCAGAGACGCAGCGGGGACAGGGACCCGGACGCCCAAGCGGCAGAGGCAGGGCAGGCGGAGGTGACAGGCGGGCAGACGGGGACCGGAGGCGGTCGTCCTCGCTGGGGGAGGAGTCACAGCGCCCTCTGCGGGTCCCGGCAGGGGGCGGGGGAGCCAGTGCCCCCGAGCCCCACGGGGGTCCACGGGCGTCTGTGGAGATCAGAGTCCGTGAAGGTTGAAGCCCCCGCAGCCCTTGGGGAGTTTTCAGACCTTAAGTGGGTCCTGGCATCACAAGGGGGTTCGTATCTGTTGGGAGAGGGTCACGGTGCCTTTTTAGAAAGCTGAAAATGCGCTCTGAGGGGTCACTGCATCGCAGGTGGGAGAGTCTCAGCGGCCCTTAGGGTGTTCGCAGAGCCTCGAAGTGTAGTTCGGCCCCCCAGGGCGCTCCCAGCCTTCTGGGATGATCGCAGTGTCCCTTGGAGGGGGAAGATAATGCGAGGATGGGATGGCAGCTGCCCAAGGGAGCCTCGAAGCAGCTCTTTGGGGCCATCACATCCCTCTCTGTCGGGGCGGGGTGTCGCTGCGTCCGTCACAGCCCTCGCAGGCATGGGCGCGTGGCATCGAGGGAGTCGCTGGGCACGGTCGGGGGAGGGCCTAGATGGCGACGCGCGCGACGCCAGCAAAGACTCCTCTGCGGGCGGATGCACTGGATGAACGTGCGCCTCGAAGTGGAGGCAACGCCCCGCCCGCGCTTTGGGCTCAGGCCGTCCCGCAGCGACCCCGCTTCTCACGCCGCTGAAGCCTCCGCAGGCGCCGCGTCCACGCATCGCGCCAAGGCAGCACGAGGCTCCCGCGGGTCGCGCTGAGCCCGGGCCCTCGGCCCCCGACCGCGGTCCCTGGCCCGCCGCCGAGCAGCAGGTAGCGGCGCCCCGGCAGGAGGCGCGGGCAGCCGCAGGCCGCGTCCCGCGCGGGCACCCACAGCGCGCTGCTCCCCCGCCTCGCGCGCTCCTCGCCGCTCCGGAACACTGCAAGCACAGCCACCGGGAAGCGCGTCCACGAGCCGTGCGCCTCGCCCTGCGCGCCCACCGCCACCTGCACCGCTGCGGGGAGGGAGAGAGGGGGCGGGGTCAAGTGGGGCGGAGCCGTGAGGGGGCGGGCGGTGCGGAGGAGCACAGAGCGCCAGCGGTGTGGGGAGCGGGGGGCGCGAAAGGGACCGAACCCGGTGGGGGGCACTCAGCGCTGGGGTGGGGGTGGGCATCGAGAGGCAGCGATAGTGGGAGGCTCAGGGAGGGAAAAGAGCAAGGCGAGAGGGTGAGGGCAGGAGCCTACCGTAGTCCTTCCTGCAGAACTTCTTCAAGCTGATGCGGTAACTGCCCCGGGCTGGTTTGCAGTGCAAGTCGCAGTCTGGAGGGGGTGTGGAGGCTGGCACAGAATCCCCACCTCCCTACCCCACCCTTTCCTCCTCCCCTCCTTGAACCCATAGCCCTCCCCCCCCCCACGCTCATGCCAATCTGGGACCTTGTTCTGGGTCCACTCACCCTGGGGCTCCACAGGGCTGCTCTCCTCAGTGGGTCCAGGGGCAGGAGTCTCTGCGAACAGGATGAAAGAACGGCCTGCACTGAAGAGGGACCATGTGCGGGGAGGGCTCAGGGGACAAGCCGGTACCAGCAGGGAGCTGGCGTGGGTGGCCTTGGCTGAGGTGGCTGAAGGAAGGAGGGCAAGGTCACTCACTAACACAGGGGGCCACTGGAGAGCGGCTCTGCTGGAAGCCAGGGGCGCAGCGATTACAGGTGAGGCCGGTGACGCCGTCCTTGCAGGGACACTGGCCTGTGGTCTGGTTGCAGGTTTTGCCAGCGGCACCAACAGGGTGACAGTCACATGCTGAGGACAGAGACAGGATGGTTAGAAGCCCATGTGGGAATGCGGGAAACGAGAAGGCGAAGATGTGCAGGTAGCTGGTGGCAGGCTCACCCCTGCAAGCGCGGCGGTCACTCAGGGCACGCCCAGGGTCGCGATAGAAGCCCTCCCGGCAGTAGTGGCAGTGACGGCCTGCGGTATTGTGCCGGCAGTTGAGACAGACGCCGCCGCTGCGACGGCCGGACAGTCGGTACAGCTCCATGTTGAAGCGGCAGCGGCGGGCATGGCCGTTGCAGGAGCAAGCTGCAGGAAGGGATGGGTCAGGGGCAGGCTGGCCTGGTCCAGGATCCCCAGGCCACCCTCCAAGGCCTCACCAAGGCAGGCGTGGGCTTCCCGGGCCGTGGCCCGCTGCCATGGCCTGTCGCAGTAGAAGGGCTTGCAGCGGCCGCAGTCGGGGCCCTCGGTGCCATGCTGACAGTCGCAGATCAGGTGGCCCTGGGTGTCCAGCAGGCACCTTGAGGCGTGCCCATTGCACTTGCAGCGCCCGCCCACCTGGAGCTCAGTAGCTGAGTACGAGTAAGGGACCATGGCCACGGAGTCCCTGGTGTCCCCCAGCACGGCAGGCCTTGTGAGCACTAGTTGAATGTCTGTGGCAGTCACCCAGTCTTGGAGAACTGGGCTGCTGTCCAGATCCAGGCCTGGTGGGCTTCCGTCCTGCACGCTGAAAGCCAGAAGGCCACCTCCATCAGGCTGGACCTGGGGCTCAGGGAAGCACAGAGCTTCAGGCCCTGGGCCAGGTGGGCTGTCCGCAGAGGCAGGTAGGCGGCCGTAGTCCAGGCCACAGTGGGAGGAGAAGAAGCCCAGTGGGGCCCAGCTACGGCCATGGTCCTGTGACTTGAGCAGGGCCACCGAGGCCGGGGGCGCAGAGCAGAAGCGCAAGCTCACGAACACCAGCTCAAAAGCCTTGCCCAGAGGCACTGTGAGAGTCACATTGTGGGGCACCTGGGTGAGTGAATCCGAACGCCAGCACACAGGGCTTGTGGTGCTCCCCGCCGAGGTCAGGAGGGCGGCAGGGTGTGCCCGCCTCGGGTCCGAGGCATCACAGGCCCGCGTGGCCGGCCGCCCGCACGTGCTGGACGCCAGAACCTCGCGGCCCAAGGCGGCGTTCACCAGGCCGGGCACGCAGCCGCGGGGCGCACCGCCGTCGTCATGGCAGGGGTCGGCAGGCGCTGGCGGCCCCAGGCTCAGCGCGGTGGAAAGCGTGCCCGCGGTCAGCAGCAGCCCCCAGGGCCAGCCGGGCATGGCCGGAGACGCGGTGAATCAGCCAGCCCGCCGGGCCCCACGCCGCTGCCCTCGGGGGGAAAGAGCCCGGATCCGAGGCTCTGCCCGCTGGCCCGCAATGCCGCGCAATCCCGGGCGGCCCCAGCCGAGGCCAAGAGGTGGGAGCAGCCGCGGGCACGCCCCGGGCCAAGCGCAACAGCGGGGATGCTGGCGCGTCCTCCCGCTGGGCCTGGAGCGTTGACAGGAGTCGCCCCAGCTCCCGGCGCCTCCGCCCGCGGAGGCCCCACCCGTCGCCCGCCGCTGCACTCACCCACCGAGGGCCGGGTCGAGCAGGTCTCCCGGCCTCCCGGGAAGGGCCGAGGGCGGGCGGGGCCTCGGGCGCCCGGGCCGCCGCCTCCTCCCGGCTGTAGCGAGGGCGGGCAAGCTGTGCCAGGAGGGGGTGGGGGGCGCAGTAGGCGCAAGCCTGGGCCCAGCCGGGGGCGGGGCTGCTCGGGCCGGGGAAGGAGGGAGGGGAGGGGAGGGGGCCTCGTCGGCAGAGCCGGAATCAGAAGCAGATTCAGACACTGGCTGGGCCAGCGGGGGAGGGGGCTGGGAGGCCCGGGAACCGGGGGAGGGGCCGGGGAGCCAGGAATGCGCCGGCGGGAGGGGTCTGGAGGGGGCGGCTCAGCCACGCAGCCCGTGGGGGACCACCCAGCAGGGTCCCCGGCCTGCATCCAGGCCCTGACTGCTCCTGGGGCTGTGCCACGTGCTGGGCGGGGGTCTGGCCGCCTCCTCCCTCAGGCCCATCTGGCAGGCTGGGCCCTCCATCTGAAGGCTGGTGCCCTGATGCTCCCTTGGGTCTCTACAGGGAACACTCAGGGCTGTAGCAGCCAAGTAGGGCTGGTGGTTATGGGATGTCCCCAAGCAGTGGTCGGCTCCAGTAGAAAAAAACCCACAATTGGGACCAGGTCTGATTTTGAAACCAAGCTGCTCCAATTTCTGGCTCTGTGGTTCAGGCTCCTTAACCTGAGATTTAGTTTTTTTCATCGGACTGTTACTCAACTTTGCTGAGCCTTTGGTGGTGGGGGTGGGAGGGGGGGTTGACGAGCTGCAAAGGTATTGGATGCAGCCAGGGAGGGACTCCACAGCCTTGAGTCCTTCTTGCTTTATGTTCAGGAAGGATGTGTCCTCCCCATCTGACTGGAGCTTGCCTAAGTAATGAAATTGGCATATGCCACCCAGATCAGGCCGAACTCGTGTCCCGCAGCATCTCTGGGTCTCCATCTAGTTGCATCACTGAGATGGGGCCAGCCCCTAGAGCTGGCAGGGAGGAAGCAGAAGCTGGGGGAGGGGAGCCCACTAATTAACTGGATCCCGTGGGGTTCGGGTTCTTGGTCAGCAGTCGAGGACCCCTGTAGTGGTTTGGGAGTGGAGTTTGGCCCATGGGGAGGGCCTGGTCACATGTCAGAACCTCTGAGCCTGGACCACATGCTGGCAGGTTTGAGTAGGGAAACTGAGGCAGGAACCCAGCCGGGCAGTCTGGGCCCCAGCTGGGGATGGGGCAGATGTAGCCGAGATTGACCCAGTCAAGAGAGACCAGAACTGCTCCGGATAGAGACCACTTCCCCAGAACCAGTAAGCCCCTGATGAAGGGGGGCAAGCAGGAAGAGTTGGCTGCATGCAGAGGGGCCAGGGAACACGGGAACGTGTGTGACCTGGGAGAAAGTATGAGAAGTTTCAGTTCAGGCCAGGCCCAGCAGATGATGGAGGTTGCCATGTGGATCCGTCCGGGCTGGCAGAGCTGCCTCTTCTACAAGAAGAAGGTAGAGAGAAGCAGTATCTTCTTGCTGTATAGGAGAGTAGGGACAGGGGGACCCTGGAGCCTCCCAAGGGAAACCAAAAGAGAAGAGGATGGAGCAGCCAGGAAGATAGGGTGATGGGACACCTGAAGTGACTAGCACCTTCTGGTCAAGCCCTCACAAATGCAGGGGTGGGGGGGTGCAGGGGCTGATGAGATCATGGGAGGCTTGGGAAGAATCCAGTCAGAGGGGCTGCTGGCTTCTCTCCCTTCGCCTTTGGCAGCAGCAGGGCTGCTGGGTCGGTGGGTCCCCTCTGCCCCAGGTGCCATGGCACCTAATCTCAACTTCGAGATAAAAAAAAGGTTCCCCTTACAACAGATAGCCGTGGACAAATGAGGGCGCTGACCCGGAGCCCAGTCTGCTCCAGCATGAGTCAAGTTCAAAAACGGCATTTTCCCAGCCACCCTCTTCGAAGTCTTTCTGATCAACAGCCTCAACCCCAGCCTGGGGAGAGTGAGCCCCTGGCAAGAGAGTACCGGCTGCGACAGATCCTTCTGGGACCGTTAGGAGCTAAGGGGTGACTAGCTGGCCGCAGTGGGGAGAGATGCCCAGGCCCAACACGAGGGTTCCACAGAGCCCGAGATGAGCCTCCAGGGAGTCCCTGGCTGTCTGGAGTTCAAGACGCAGGAGGGAAGAAAGGAAATCGGGGGGCAGCCTCCCCTCCAACCCTGCGTCAGACTTGCAGGCTTTGTCTGCAGCCCAGCCTCCCCGGGAGTTGGGGCTAAGGTCTGCAGAACATCTGGTGGTTTCTGGTGTGGGTGGAAGGAGGCCCTCAGGGCTCAGCCTGCTGCGTGCACGAGTGTTCAGAGCGTTGGTCGGTGTTAGCAAGCAGAAAGCTCTGGGCCCAGAGGGCTATAGTACCACCACCTCCCCAGGGAGGAGGCTGCAGGCAGCCCCACCTCTTCCCCCAGAATGGCCCCCTGAACGCATTCTCTTCTGGCCCCTAAGGATGGCCCTGGCAGATGGCCTGATGAGAGTGAGGGAGGGCCTTCTCTGCAGCCCCCAGTCTGGGCTCATTGCTGGACTCAGTCCTGTGGACTGTGCCACCTGTCCCCAGCCTCTGGGGCCTCTCACCCTTCTCCGCTGGTCCTGGTCCATCCTGGCACCTTAGAGGAGACCCCGCCCTCTCACCGCCCCCCATGCACCTTGTCAGTCCACTCCCATCCCCAGTCAGAGTGACAGCTGCTGGCTTTGGGGGCACACAGAGAACCTGTCCAGGGAGAAAAGGACTCAGGGGACCAGACAGTCCCAGGCCTCAGGCGCCTGGGGTCTTTCCTTGTCAGGTGAACTGACCCAACACTCCTGGCCCAGCCCAGGACATACTGTTCTGTCCAGACCTTTGCAAGCCACCACTTGTACACATTTCACACAAATTTATTGAGCGTCTATTATGCCAAGAGGGGCTTCCGGCCGAGCAGGGAAGACAGACGGCATGGGGAGGGGAGCACAATCTGCTTCACCCCAGGAGGGTGGACTTGCCGAGTCCGCGGCCATCCCCCACCTTGCTCCCCGGGCAAGGCCCCCGTGCCACGCAGGCCCTCTCCGCGGTGGCGATCGACTCTGCGCGCCAAGCAGAACGCTGAAAAGCAACGCTGGGAGGAGTGGGGAGAGGCGAGTCCGAAGAGCAGAGGGAAATGGCTCGTAGCTCCCACCCCCTTGGCCTCCTAAGGGCTTAGGAAGGAACGGTCTGGGGAGTGGGCTTTCGCGTCCCGCTCGCTGTGCTCTGCGCGCCCCGGCGGGGCGAGGTCCGGAGAGAGGAGGCGTCCGGCTCCCGGTGACTTCGCTGGGGAGGGGCCGCGCGCGCGGGCTCAGGACGTCCCCGGCTCCCGCCGCCCCGCGCGCCCGGCCCGCCGCTGCCGCCGGGCGCGCCAGCACAGGAAGGCGGCGGCCAGGAGCCCGAGGCCCGCGCCCAGCGTGGTCAGCGCCACGCCCTGCTCCAGGTCCAGGTGGGGTCCGCGCAGCGAGAAGGTGATGGCCGTGGCGGCGGCGCCGGCCAGCAGGGTCACGACGCCGAACGGCAGGACGCAGCGCGGCCAGGAACCCCCCACTCCGCCGGTGGCCAAAAGCAGCGCGCGCAGAGCCCCGGGGGGCTCGGGGGGCGCAGAGGGGGCGGGGGGCTCGGCAGGCGCCGCGGGCGGGGGCTCGGGCGCGCTCATGCCGCCGATGGGGGCCCGCGCTCAGGGTGGGTGTGGGCGCCCGCGCAGCCCCCACTCCGGTCCTCGACCGCCACGTCAGAGCGGATTGGCCCGGGATGCGGTGACGCCACCGGGACGCCGGGGAGAGGAGGTCGCCGCCGCCTCCCGGCTTGGCGCTGAATCAGGGTGGGCGGGCGCGAATGTCGAAGGGGCGCTAACCCAGACCTCTGCCCTCCTTCTCCCTCATGCTCCGGGCGCCACCTGCCTGCCCAGGTGCGGACAGCGCTCCACAAGGCAACACGGAGGACGGGTCCTGACGGGAGGGTCATTGAATCAGCAACCTCTGGGTGCCCATCTGGGCCTGGCTAGGAACCAAGGTGGACAGCATCCCTGCCCTCAGGGGGCAAAGGTCCAGTAAACCAAGTGGACTGGTGGACTAAAATAATTATGGTGGAGACCACTGGCTATGGAAATGGGTTTTGGCCAGTAGCAGGGTGGGGGATTCACCCCGGAAATGAAAGGTTCCTCAAGACCAGATCAATGGGCATGGTCTCTGGAAGTAGCAACAAAGTGGCCTGGAGGGGGTTAGCTGTCCCCCAGCTCCCCACCTCTGGGTTCCCCCTTCCCTGTTCCTGCCCTGGTCAGTGGACAGAGCTGTTCCACTCCCTACAGGCCCCTTACTGCAATGAGGACTGTTTTTAGGTTTCCTGCTTTGGTCTGTCATCTAGTCCCCAGCAGCCGCCAAGACCTGGGATTCCATTACTCAAGGTTTCTGGCCTGTGGGGGCAGCCCCAAGGCTGCTTCAGCATCACTCAGCTCATGCCCCACACCTGTGACACCCTGCCTGGCGCTCAGAAGACCCAGCCTGCCCCAGGAGCTGCCTGGCTCGGGGCCTGGGTCCCCCGAGAGCAGAGGCTGGTGTGAATTCCCTGCTGCTCATTGCTAGCTACACAAAGGACCAGTGTCCCAGCTCTGAGGATTGTGCTTGGTTGGCTCAGGTGCCTAGGCAAGACTTGTTTAAAGAACACTATGGCCTCCCGGGCCACCC